AAAAAAAAAAAAAAAAAAAAAAAAAGGGAACAAAGGCTTCTAACTAGTGAGTTAGGGCTAAAGGAGGAAGCCTTGCTAAACTCAGCAGTTTCTGGATATCTACTTCCCTACACCCTGCAGGAAGGGTCCATTCTGGTCTCCTCTTCCACCGAGTGGTAAGCTTACTAGGGCAGACTCTACAGTTTTGGTGGTGCGTGGTCAGTCTGGGATGAACTACTGGAAGACCACCATGATTGTACCTCCAAACCACATCCTCCAATCCATCTTTTATCAGATGTTAAAAAAGCTGACTTTCTATCTCCTATATTCCTCTTAAGTTCTTCAACTGGTTCCAAGTTCCTAAAGCAAAAAGGATCTTTATTTATAGGTCCTCTAAAACTTGAATGTGACACAGCTCTATTTTAAAACAAATAAGGTAGGTTTATATGTATCAATATGAAATCATCTCTAACATATAGTGAAATGTAAAAGCAAGGTGAAAAAGAGCACAGCAGAACACCACTAGGTCAAATACAGACAGGTACATACATATACTGTACATGCATACAACACACAACATGTCTGGAAAAGATACACATGAAACTAGTGACATGAGCATCTTTGGGGAAAAGAACTGGTTTGACAATAAACAGAGGTTATAGAAACTTACTTTTCACTGGTTTTTGTACCATGTGAATATATTATCTATTTAAATAATAACTTAGGTGCAAACCAGTAAAAGACAATGAAAAGGGAAAAAGAATTCTCTCAGTTTTAAATATTATCAAAATTTAACATTTACAAGCATAGTAACAGGATTTCAAAAGTTTTTTAAAAACCCTCTAAAGTCTGTACTATAGAACATATATATGGGGGGACCCCCCCCAAAAATGAGAATTATCTTTTCGAGGACAAATAGGCTTCTCCCACTAGGTAAGTATTCTAGGAAACCACTGGCAACAGCTAGCATTATTGTGAGGCTGCATTTGGCCACAGTAAATTTTTTTTGGAGATTTTTTTCAACACATTTGCCCATTTCATGATGGGTGATTTACAATGGCACCTGCCCACACAGCACTGAGTGTTCAACAGTTTTTGACCAAAACCAGCATGACCCCTGTACCCCCCATCTTCCTACTCACTGGATCTTGCCCTAGGCAATTTTTTGTTTCCCTGGATGAAAAAAGTCCTCAAAGGGAAACGTTTTGCCAAAATGGAAGCGGTAATTAAAAAAAAAAAAAAAACCAGAAGCACCAAAGGCATCAAAAGCAACAAGTTCAAAAAGTGTTTTGAGCAGTGGAAAAAGCGCCTTCTTTGAAGGGGAATGAAGTCTAAACATGTAAGAATAACTATCAATTTTTCATAAATAAATCCCTTTTTTGGGGGGGTTCCCCTCATATAATATGTTCATACAAAGAGTCTAGAAAAAAGAAATAATTCATATAATTTACATATCAAAATGTTTCTCTGTCCATAGTAATACTCAATGTCAGAACGGTCTCTTTAATTAGTCTTGACAATTTGAAAAAACTTTTACTATGAGAAATAATCAAGAGGACATTAATGTATCATTGTTGAACCTATTCTATTAACTGATTACAAGGAATCAGAGGCTATTTGAGAGGAAAGACCTAATAGTTCTGTGTATATAAATACCTTGCAAAAGCACACAGTATTTTTTTTTTTGAGTTGGAGTCTCACTCTGTCACCTAGACTGGAGTGCAGTGGCACGCTCCCGGCCACTGCAACCTTGACCTGCTGGGCTCTGGCAATCCTTCCGCCTCAGCCTTCCAAGTAGCTGAAACTACAGGCATGCGCTACCACGCCCAGCTAATTTTTGATTTATTGTAGAGACAGGGTCTCACCAAGCTGCCTGGGCAGGTCTCAAACCTGCAGTCAGGCAATCCACTCGCCTTGACCTCCCAAAGTGCTGGGATTACAGGCTGAGCCACTGAGTCTGGCAGTACACAGTATTTTTGAGTAAATTTTCTGACTAAGAATTCAACAATATGTGTTAGGAGTCTAACTAAGGCCTTAAGAGAGAGTACAGCAGTATAAAAGGGCTTTCTGCCTAAAATGAACCTAAGAATAGAAAATGTCATAATCTAGAATTCATTAACATCAAAACGACGTACAATTTATCAGAAGAAAAATCACCAGCATTTGAGAATATTTATGATTAATGTTAAAGACAAATTTTGGGGTTCTGAATACAAATGACAACTATGTACATCACATAATTTCACTAAGTAATATAAGCCATATCTATTGATAAATACCTGTTCTATCTGTATTCCATAGCCTTTAAAACCTGCATTGTCCCATGAAGTGTTCCGATAGATGTCATCAACTCTGTCAATTAATTCTATCTGGGTGTATTAAAATACAAAAAAAGACATTATAATGTAGCTCTTCACCACTTTTTGCAATGTAATACAAAATCTACAAGAAACAAAATTCAGTTTAGAAAAAAATGCCATTACAAAAGTTTCTACTATTACAAAACTAGCATTACAATGTTACTCTTTATCATTGATACCTCTTAAAGTATTCCTGGCTCCTAGCCCCAGACTTAAAGGGCTGTTACCAGAATAAAATGATGGTACACTTTACCCCAAATTTCAGGTAATCAACTGCACAAAGAAACAAAATAACAAGTAAATGGTTTCTTAAAACTGTTATTCTAGTCAACTATAAAAAAATGAAATTTACAAGTCAATCAATTTACTTGAAATATAGTTGACCCTTGAAAAATACAGATTTGAACTGCTCAGGTCCACTTATATACAGATTTACTTGCATCTCTGCTACCCCTGAGACAGCAAGACCAACCTCTCCTCTTCCTCCTCCTCCTCAGTCTACTCAACGTGAAGATTACAAGGATATAGGCCTTTATGATGATCCACTTCTACCTAATAAATAGCAAATATATTTTCTTTTCCTTATGGTTTTATTAAAACATTTTCTTTCCTCTAGCTTACTTTATTGTAAGAATATTGTATATATACAAAGAACATACAAAATATGTGTTAATCAACTATGTTATCGGTAAGGTTTCTGGTCAACAATAGACTATTAGTAGTTCAGTTTTCGGGGAATCAAGACTTGTAAGTGAATTTTCGACTGCAGTGAGGAAGTGTCAGGGCCCCTAACCCTCACTATGTTCATGGGTCAACTGTATTCCCTTCTAAGGAGTAGTTCATCTTTACTCTATCTCTTGGCAAGTACCTCAAATGTCTTTCCCAGAAACAGGTAAGGGGCATAACTGCTAATCCTGTTCCCTCAGCCACACCCACAAAGTTCAGCTCTGAGGAATGGGTAAAAAGAGGGTCAGAAGAAATCAGGTTCAATTCAGCAATGCTCTCTCTGTTCTCTGATCTGGAAAGGCTGAGGAAGTAGGGACAGTATAATCACCAAGGATGATTACGTAGGAAAGAACAAAACGCTAATTATCTCTTTTCCTCAAAGAGAACAGTTTATTACCCCAAAACTGGGTAGTTGAAGTTTGTTCCAACAACTGTGAAACAAGTTATAGATCTAAGCAACTACTTTGTGCTAATATAAATAACTGTAAAACAGCACAATTTCTAAGACCAGACCTTTCATTATATTCATATCCATAGTGAACAAAGTAAAATAGAAGAGCCCCTTAATACAAAACCTAGATTAAGAGACAAGCTTTTTCAAGACTCTTGTACTTAGGAATAAGAATCACAGTGACTTCCTATCCTCATAATAAATTCACTTGGCATGGAAGGGAAGGGAGAGAAGGCGAGGGAGGGTATGAATAAAACGGAGAGAATGGGGAAAGCAAGGCAAAGAGAAAGACGTCTTTCTGCACCAGCTCTCGGTTCATGAACAGCTTCATTCTTTAGTCCCTCAATAACATTTTTGGTCAGAGCCAAGTTATCATGACAAATGAGGTCATACTAGCAAAAAAGGTCAATGAAAAATAATTCTCCTAACTTTAAAAATTATAGTTAATGTTTAAAAATCCAGTGTTAGCCAGGCGTGGTGGCTCAAGCCTATAATCCCAGCACTTTGGGAGGCAGAGGTGAGAGGACTGCCTGAGCCTACAGGTTCAAGACCAGCCTGGACAACTTGGCGAGACCTCGTCTCTACAATAAATCAAAAGGTAGCTGGGCATGACGGTACGCATCTGTAGTTCCAGTTAATTGAAAGGCTGAGGAGGAAGGATCACCTGAGCCCAGCAGGTCAAAGCTGCAGTGGCCGTGAGCGTGCCACTGCACTTCATCCTGGGTGACACAGTGAGACTCCAAATTAAAAAAAAAAAAAAAATCCAGCCGGGCTCGGTGGCTCAGCCTGTAATCCCGCGCCTTGGGAGACTGAGGTGAGTAACTGCCTGAGACCACAGGTTCGAGACCTGCCTGGGCAACTTGGCAAGACCTCATCTCTACAATAAATCAAAAAATTAGCCGGACGTGTAGCGCATGCTTGTAATTCCAGCTACTTGGAAGGCTGAGGCGGAAGGATCGCCGGAGCCCAGCAGGTCGAGGCTGCGGTGGCCGGGAGCGGCCGCTGCACTCCAGTCTGGGTGACAGAGTGAGACATCAACTCAAAAAAAAAAAAAAATCCAGTGTTAACATTTCTCAAATCTTTCCTTCATATCCCTTCCATAGAGTTAGTTATGACCATGAAATCCCACCAATATCATGCAGTTAAAGTGCAATGTTAGCTCTTTAGCACAACATGCACAGAAGTGACCCTCCTCTCTGAAATATATATACATAAGCAAAAAAATAAAAATAAAAATACACACGAGTTCATACAAATACATGTTTTTTTTTACTTTGGAGCATACATCCACATATGTGACAGCACAAGTTCACTGCCATTATAGCAGTGGTGTTTTTCAAAGCCCACTTGTATAAAGAAAGAACTTTGGGCGGGGGTAGAGTCCAGGAGGTCTGAGAGGGTTCAGTGCTTCTTTGTCTGCAGTCCCCCTTCTCTCCTACTCCCTCCCCTCACCCTCCATCTCAATAAAATGGTTTAGCCCCCAAAAATAAAAATAGGGGAGGGAAGGTGGGATTGGCAATTGAGGGAAACTGCTAGGGGAGGAGGGGCATACCTCATCAACAAAGGTACCTACATAGTCAATGTTTGTATACCTAACCCTGAACTATACCCCACATCTTTATAATAAAAAAAAAAGAAAAAGAAAGAAAAAAGAAAAAGAACTACTTTATGGCCTCTCGCCAAACATAACCTGCATGAAAATTCTAATGTGCAGAAAATATTCATTCAAAGGTAAGATGGATTTTTACCAATTTGAAGCTATAATTTCCACACTGTAATATATACACCTCAGAGAACAACCCTCAAATTATTTTAGGGAAATAACAGAGTATCTAAATAGATCTGGTTTCATTAAGTTTCAGATTATCACAGCCTCTCTTAAATGGAATTGATTACCCAACCACATGAATTGTTTTTGTCCAACTGCTTGATGCAGTATCAAATACTTACTAAATAATTTGTAGTTGTACTCTCTTCCCCTCTTCCCATGTATTTGTAAAAGCGATGATCTGCTACCACCAATAATTTACACGTGTTCTTCAGGGGATTTGGATCAGCTCTTCTCTTCACCCGATGAACAAGCTCTAATATGAATTTGTATGCACTATTAAATCAAAATTCATCAAAACAAGGAGTTTTTTATAGTAACAATTTAAATCTAGTATATTTTTGAAACATTTATTTGAGCTTAGTATCCCTAAAGGTATCCTGAACAAAAAAACAATTTGGAGGAAGACAGAAAAATGAAAAGTAACATGGTTTTAAAATTGTACAATTCAAGAAAAATGTCTCCTTAATTTTTAAAATACAGAAAAATTTTTTAAGGGCTTAATAACTAAGAATGGTGATACATGCCTATAATCCCAGCACTTTAGGAGATTGAGGCAAGAGGATCGCTTGAGATCAAGAGGCTGACATCAGCCTGGGCAACAGAGTGAGACCCTATCTCTATAAAAAATAAAAAAATTAGCCAGGCATGTTGATGCACACCTGCTACTCTGAAGGCTGAGATGGGAGAATCACTTCACCCCAGGAGTTCAAGGCTGTAGTGAGCCAAGATTGTGCCACTTTACCCAAGTCCGGACAACTAAGCAAGACTGTTTCAAAAAAAAAAAAAAGTGCTGAACAGAGTAGAACAATCACCTATCACTAGACTATGAAGCTAAGAGTCATGTTCTTGTACAGGAAGTTTGCAAATTAACCAAAGTAATGGTAAAAATGTCAACGAGAGAATCACACATCAAAAATTAGTTTGTATTAATAGAATGTTTTATCAAATAATCAAACTGCTTAAAAATTTATATATTAAGGCCAGGTGTGGCTCACATCTGTAATCTCAGCACTTTGGGAAGCCGAGGTGAGAGGACTGCCTGAGCCCACAGATTCAAGACCAGTCTGGGCAAATTGGCGGATCTCATCTCTACAATAAATCAAGAAAAATTAGCCTGTAGTTCCAGCTACTTGGAAGGCTGAGGCGCAAGTATTGCCTGAGCCCTGCAGGTAGAGGCTGTGGTGGCCATGAGCATGCCACTGCACTCCAGCCTGGGCAACAGAATGAGATTCCGACTCAAAAAAAAAAAAAAATTATATATTAAAATGCTAGCAATATTTTCTAAAGTCTTAAAAAAAAAATGAGGACAATAGAACACCTCTCCAAGATTGTTTTCTAAGATGACTATAAATAGATCTGTCCCAAGACTGACAATCTTCTTGTGTTCTAAACAATATATAGATCTTTCTTGCTATCAACTAATTTCTTATAAACTCTAAACACTGTCTTTCAACAGTACTACTTGCAGTCATTTCTAAATACTTCAATTTCCCTTTTCCCCAATCTTCTTTAAAGTCCAATCTTGCCAGGTACAATGGCTCATGTCTGTAATCACTTTGGGAGGTGGAGGTAATAGGATTGCCTGAGCCCAGCCAGGGGTTCAAGATGAGTTTGGGAAACTTGGCGAGACCTCATCTCTATAGTAAATAAAAAAATCAGTCAGGCATGGTGGCACACACCTGTAGTTCCTGCTACTGGAAGGATCGCCTGAGACCAGCAGATAGAGATTGTGGTTGTCATGACTGGGCCACTGCACTCCAGCCTGGGCCACAGAGTGAGATTTCAACTCAAAAACAATTGAAAAAAAGTTCAGTCTTTATTGTTCTCATTATTTTCTAGGGTTTTCCACTCTCAAATTTTAGACAAGAGTTAACTTAAGAATTTCTGGAACAAAACTCTGTTTTCAAGTCAAATACTATAGTTTCTTGATAACCATATTTTTTTTAATCAATTAACCACCATCCTATTGAAGATAGTTGTAATATGTTTGTTTCTTATCTGAAGTATATTTTTTTAAGTCTTACCTTCAGGTGGCTCTCTGTCTACTAGCTCTTTTGGAAGTAATTCTTCCTTATCCATTTTTAAATAACCACATACTTTTGGAGACTGCAAACGTGAAATGTTCTTGATATCTTCTGATTTATAAACTAACATCCTCTTGTCTTGAGTATCATTAATAAATCTCCAAAGCGGCTACAACAGAAAACATCTATGACTGAGATGGAAAAAACAAGAAGTTCTAAAGACTAAACTATTCCAGTATTCTTTGCTTATTCTTAGATACCATTCACTTCTAGGTTACGTAAAATGACTACTCGTTTTACCCAAAATAAATCATTTCAATGTTTACCATTTGGAGTTTCTATGCTGGTAAATACATACACTATTCACTATGATTATTTTATCCATATATGAAAAAAGCACTACACACTTTGCACAAGTTATGAAAACTATTAGAGAAAAACGCGTATCCTTTTCCATTCATTTATCCAAAAGTTTTATGGAATACCTACTGTATACTGGCACTGTTAAAGGTGATGGTGCTTGATAAAGTTTGAATGGGTGTCCCCTCCAAATCTCATGCTGAAATGTGATCCCCAATGTTGGAGGTGGGGCTCAGTGGGAGGTAACCAGACCATGGGCGTAGATCCCGCATGAATGGCTTGGTGCCATTCTCACAGTAATGAGGAATTCTCACTCTATTAGTTCATGCGAAAGTTGGTTGTTTAAAGAGCCTCACACCTCTTTTTCTTGCTTCCACTCTTGCCATGTGGCATGCCTGCTCCTTCTTTGCCTTCCACAGTGACTGTAAGTTTCCTGAGGCCACACCAAAAGCCCAGCAGATGCCAGTGTCATGCAGAAATATGAGCCAAAATAAACCTCTTTTCTTTGTAAACTACCCAGCCTCAGGTTATTTCTCGATAGCAACAAAGAGTGCACTAATACAGTGCTATGGTAATGGAAGTTGGACATTTTGGTTAATGTGCTATTTTCTTTTCTTTTTTTTTTTTTTTTGAGTTGAAGTCTCACTCTGTCATCCAGACTGAAGTGCAGTGGCCGCTCCCGGCCACCGCAGCCTCAACCTGCTGGGCTCCAGCGATCCTTCCGCCTCAGCCTTCCGAGTAGCTGGAACTACAGGCCCGTGCTACCACGCCCGGCTAATTTTTTATTTATTGTAGAGATGAGGTCTCACCAGGTTGCCCAGGCGGGTCGCGAATTTGTGCTATTTTCATTCTAGCTTCTTTAACATTCAGGTATTTGACACATTTTTGTAATACTAGGTTTTATGCATGAGAAAGAACAAACATTTTTATTTTAAAAAAACCAAAAAACTCAAGGCTTGCAACAATATACCTTAAATATATTATTGGTTTTGAGGAAAGCAGTTTTCTAAATATCTTAGGCTGGGCACAGTGGCTCATGCCTGTTTCCTAGCACTTTGGGAGGCCGAGGTGAGAGGGTTACATGATCCCAGTGGTTCAAGACCAGTCTAGGAAACTTGGCGAGACCTCGACTCTACAATAAATAAAAAAATTAGCCAGGCATGATGGCGTGCACCTGTAGTTCCAGCTACTTGGAAGGCTGAGATGGAAAGATCACCTGAGCCCAACATATAGAAGCTGCGGTGGCCGTGAACATGCTACTACATTTCAGCCTGGGAAACGAGTGAGACTCTGACTCAAAAACAAAGAAACAAACAAAAAAACACAAACATCTACATTTACAATGCTGTAAGGCAAAAGTAAATCACAATTAAGGAACTCCAAAGGTTACCCTAGTCACAAGGATATTTTCAGGTTGGTTGGTTGGTTGGTTTTTTCCAAAACAAAGCCATAAGGACACTGGTCTCATCAGAGCCAGTCAATTTCTGGGGAATGTACAGAAAAGATATTATAGAGACATGATATATATTAAAAAGATATTACATATCTTGATCAAGGAAATGCAAATCAAAATCACAATGAGATACCATCCATACCACCAGGATGGATATAATGAAAGACAAAAACCAGTGAGGATATAGAGAAATCCAGAACTCTCATATATGCTGATGAGAATGTAAAATGGTACAGCCACTTTAGAACACAGTCTGGCAGGCCCTCAAAGGTTAAAAATAAAGTTACCGTATGACCTTGCAATTCTGCTCCTAATATATATCCAAGAGAAATGAAAACATATGCCCAGATGAAAACTCATTCACAAATGTTCATAGCAGCATTGTTAATAGCAATAAAATATAACAACCCAAATGTTCATTAACTGATTAGTGAACAAAATGTGGTCTATCCATACATACAAAGGAATACTACATTCAGCAATAAAAATAAATGAAGTACTGATACATGTTATAACATGTATAAACCTTGAAAACATTATCCTAAGTGAAAGAAGCCACACACGAAAAGACCACATATTATATGATTCCACTTATATGAAATGACCAAAATAGGCAAATCTAAAGAGACAGTAGGTTGGTGACTACCTGGAGCTGGGGGACTTAGGGAGAAAAGGGGGAAAGCTAGATAAAGGTATAGGGTTTCTTTCTGGGGTCATAAAAACAATCTAAAATTGACTGTGGTATGACATTTGCATAACTCTATAAATATACTAAAAACTATGCAATTGTACATGTCAAATAAGAGAACGCAAAAAGTGAATTATATCTCAATAAAGCTGTTAAATACACACACGCGTGCGCGCCTTTTGTAATTCATTATATGAAGTAGATTTAAGAAACAATAAGTACAGAATATCAGAGCCAGCAGAGACCTCAAAAGTCAACTAACCCAACACCTGGGTTGCAGGAATCTTCCATATATAGTAAAGCTCATTTGGCCTATGAATAAAAATTTTTCTCTTTTGAGTCAAACATTTCTAAATTCACATTGACTGTTTCCCAGTATTGCCAGTCCAGCACAGAAAAAGCAGGCTTTGTGATTAGAGATACCTGAATTCAGACCTCAACCTTACCTTACTATGTACCTTGGACAAGTAACTTAACCTGAGCATAACTTCTCATATTAGGTAAAGTCGTGATAATACCTAACTTGAAGAGCATGTAAAATCAGATAATCCAATGACCACTATTACTAATAAGCTGCTGGAAAAAAAAACATTTGATAAAAAATGCAATAAAAGGCAGGAAACTTGAATGAATGCTTGATTGGAAAACCAAAAAATCACCTAGGAAGGAGACTCTGAGGATGACTAGAGGTTTTGGCTATGGACAGATTATTATATAATACTGTAGTATTACAATATTTTCTCAATTATGTTACTTTTATTATGGTTGTGTAAAGGAATACCTTTACTTTTATGAGAAGCACACAAAGTACTTAGGAGTGAAGTGTCATGATGTCTGCAGATGATTTTCAAATCATTCAGGAAAAAAATAGAGCAATAAAGCAAACATGACACGTTAGCAGTTGATTAAAGGTTACCAAGTATTTTTTAATCTTTCTGTAAATTTGAACATTTTCAAAACAAAAAATTGGGGAGAAAAAAAATCATCTCACTAAGTTTAATCTAGGCTTATTTATATCAACAGTAAGCTATAGTAAAATCAGTGATAGTTTAAAATATTTCATGATGATGTGTTAAAAATAAGATATATACATCTTCCTGCTCACTTATAAGTCTAAGATTTTCATGCAAATGATAATAATTTATATATCAAGGCAAGTAAAAATAAGATTTACTCAATAAAAAATATGAAAATTACCATTCTAAGTTATAAACCACTTTCTAAATTAAAAATTATTAATATGATACAAAAATTCCTCAAGAAAATTGATGAGCTTATTTTTAAAGTAAACATCTGCAGTGAATTATTAATTACTTAGTAAAACAAAGTTCGGATGGAAACAGAATTCCTAATTCTCCAAAAGCATATATTTGAAAAAAATGAGGAATCTGTGCAAATTTAACTTGGATCCTAGATGTATGCATTTTAATTTAATAGATTAATCTAAGGAAATAAGCACACATATGCACTGTGGCAAAAACAATTGGTGTGCATTTACCACACAGTTTTTCTGAGCTCAAAAGATGACTATCTTTCCCAGCCTCCTTTTGTAGTAGGTCAGAGACAAAGCAATCTAGAATGTGGATGGAAGGCCACTTCCAAGCCCGGCCTGAACAACATCCTGTGTGATTTTCTAGCTGTCTGGTTCCTTTCTGTGGCAACCACAGAAGACATGCGTCCCAAAGTCAAAGTCACAGGGTAGAGGAAGACTACCTAATTCACATCAAGCCTTAAGGAGAGTAAGAAACAAACCTTTGTTGTATTAAGCTACTGAGATGTGAGAGTTTATCTGAGGTCCTGGCACAACCTAGACAGAGCTTTCTATAGTTTCCTCATTTAACTTCCCAAACTGTTGCCTATCACCCAGATTATTCCAACTAAATATAAGCATCAAAAGTTGTGCCCAAGGCTATTCACTACAGGACTTTTTATTTCAAAAACTAGAAAAAACAAGTGAGCACTAATGGAAGATTCATTAAATAAGTGGTGCTGAGCCCAGCACATCGAGGCCGCAGTGGCTGTGAGCGTGCCACTGCTCTCTAGCCTGGGAGACAGAGTGAGACGCGAACTCAAAAAAAGAAAAAAAAACTATTTTCTGAATTTGGTAATGAACATCTGTTTTTAAAATAAACGTTTTTTTAAAAAATGAATTGATTTGAAAAAACAGGCAAATTTAAGATACCCCAGTGATTGATCTGCCTATTCTAGAATGAATGCATTTATAGTATTACCTCCTTGACTTTGTACTAAATTTCTGACTCTTTCTGCTAAGCTAGACTCCTCAAACATCGAAGTTAAATAGTTTAAATGACTGGGGGGGGAGGAATAGTTTAAACAACAACAAACCATAACATACTACAAGATTCATTTTTCACAAAGATGGATAGACAAAAGTCATGTTGTCTGGATTTTTTTTTGAGTTGGAGTCTCACTCTGTCACCCAGACTGGAATGCAGTGGCATACTCCCGGCCACCGCAGCCTTGACCTGCTGGGCTCCAGTGATCCTTCCGCCTCAGCCTTCCAAGTAGCTGAAACTCCAGGCGTGCGCTACCACGTCCGGCTAATTTTTTGATTTATTGTAGAGATGAGGTCTCGTCAAGTTGCCCAGGCGGGTCTTGAACCCGCGGGCTCAGGCAATCCACTCACCTCAGCCTCCCAAAGCGTGGGATTACAGGCTGAGCCACGGAGCCCGGCTGGATGTTATTAAATGCCTAGTATTTATAGCACCAGCACCCAGTCTTACCCATAAATCAGCACTCAAATATACTTGAAAAGTTCATTTTGACCAACCTTAATCACAGTTTTCAGGTGATCTGTTTCAGTGCTATCGTCACTACCCACAGTATTTGCATTTTCCAAGAAACACAGAATCAACTTCAGTCCACAAATATGTAGCAAATGTTTTGTTTTCTAGACTAGTATATGATAGATGGATATGTCTTACATAAATGTAGCTACTTTGATCTTGCTTTCTACTGCTTCTTCTTCAATGGAAGAGTGGATGCAGTCTGAGTTTCCTATAGTTTCTTCTTCTAATTTTTCAGACTATGAACTATCACCTTTTACTGATCTAACATTTTCTGATGTCCAACAGAGAAAGGGAGAAATGGAAAAAATCAGACTTTACCTGCATCTTTGAGGATGTTTTCTCTTCCACCTCTCATGCAACTCTCAATTATGGCATTTTAAAATATAGGATGCATCTTAAGATAGATTTTTAGAGATGTAAAAAATATTACTCATTTTTAAAAAATTTACTTTTGTGGTTAAAAAAACTTTTTAAATACAAAGAGAAAAAAATAAGTGTAATTACTTTTCACCTTTGCCATCTTAAAATAATAGAGAAGCTTTTTAAAAATCAGAGATATAAACTAGAGAAAAAATTCATGTGTAGATTTACCTCCATGTTATATTCTGTGCCATCTGTGTTGATTCGTATGGTAACATCATCATCTCCTATGTGGGCTAGAACCCTAGAGTCAGGCTCACCTTAACAGGAAAAAAAAGACTATTTTTATTATTTAAAAATATACATATCAAATAATAAACTATGCACTACTATCAATAAAAATCAACCAAACCCTTCACCAGAGCAGAACCTAGGTCCTGTGAGAGCTCTGGAACCAAGAAACAAAAGCACAGAAAAGCAGCTAGATAATTCTCACTTCCTAAGATGCAGCCTCCAGTCTAGTTCATTCAGTCTAGTTCTATACCTTTTCCAAAACAAACAAAACTGCAGATTTTCTTCTGGAACAACTTTATCTACTTCTAGGTAAGGAATTATTAAGAGAAGAGAGAAAGAATGATTTAAAATGTACAGGCCTTTGAACTATACTATTTGGAGATTTCAAGGCCACTTCTTTTTTCATATTGTAAAAAAAAGGTCAAAAAGTAAACTGCAACTGCTTGCTAGATATATTTTCTCAAATAAATACATAATAGGATCATAAAGTAAATTATTTTATATCTTAGCCTCTCTGTCTAAAATCTCATAAAGACTACAATCTTTGCTGAAGACAAGAGAAGGTTAAATTCTTATCACTTGAGAGGAAATTAACCCTTTGTACTTGGATGTCCCCTCTGAGGGGGACAATGTAAAGCCAGCAAACCACTTGGATGTCTCCTCTCTGGGTACATAAAGAAATTGCTGGTGATTATACAGGACAAACTTATGCTAGACCAAATTTTTCAAAAATATATGTTTCCTTGAAGTTTTCCGTTCAAATTGCACAAAAAAGCAAATTAAAAAATGGAATATATATTAAGAGATACATTTTTTAAAAATCAGTTGGCATTACATAGAAAGAGAGTGTTGTGCTTTCACAGTGCACAGATTGGACAATAAATTACACATTATTAATGTGGGAGGAAGAAAAAAAGACTGCATTGTCTGCTGGAACAGAAAAACACCAGGTGGAAGACATCAAACAAATTACTATTACACAACATGTATCAATGAATCCACAATGCATGTCAGTGACCATTTTGCACGTTACCACACATTAGAAAGCTATAAGATATAAAATATTGATTTTTTGTAATAAGTTCCTCAATGTCCAAAATTCCATTGTAAGCCAAATATCTTTTTTTTAAAGATTAGAAAATATAGTTTGTTTAAAAGTAAATTAGAGAGAGAGTAAAAGAGAAAGAAAGATTCACCTTCCCAAGGTAGAGGAGGGGGATCAAAGCCAGGAAGCCTGGTGACAGCCATAACTCAAAGAGCACATGGCGGCCACACCAGAGTCTAGCAAGGCAAATGGCCTGTAAGTCAAATATCATTACAATAAAATATTTGGTTCCAACTCTAGACTTTTCACATGAAGTGATTCGTTTTTCACTACAGTGCAGTTGAGTTACTGGTAGGTGATCCACGAGATGTCTCCGAGTGCAAAAGGTTAATGTTAACCATTAAACCAGCCAGCCAGTATGACATGCGAGGTAAAACCCATTTCCTCCTGTTAGAATGTTTCTGCTTCCAATCTTAAATTGTCCAAATAAAACAGTCAAAGAATAGCACTTCTATGTTACCCCTTCTCCCCACCCACCAAAAAGAAGATGCAATAAAGTTAGATTTGGAGACCTAACATCCCAGATACAAGTGCAAACAAGTAGCTCCATACTAACCAACCACGTGTCCACTGAAGAAATCCTGCCATTTGACAGCATACTCGCTTTCATCTTTACCATCTACTACCACGACTTTGAAATTTTGTGAAAAGCGTTCAGTACTTGATGTCAGGTATAGTTTAAAATGCCTAAAGAAAAAAACACATTCATATTTTACTCTCAGCACATAAAGACTCAAAAAGTGTATGCATTCATCTTTCCATAAAACTCTGAAGAATAAGGAAAAATACACAGGTGGTAGTTAAGTTGGAGTCCTGCTTATTTCAAAAATTTATTACTAATGACTAACATTATTATATACCACTTACTGAAAACCTACTCAGTGTTAGGTACTTTGTATATGTTATATCTCTACTTCACACAAATAAAAACTGAGGCCGACACAGTTAGTAAATGATGAAATTGGAAAATGAACTCGGTTTATTTCAAAACTCTGTACTATGCTAGTTTTAGCAATCAAGCTGGGTGGACTATGGGAAAATTTTTACCGATCTGCAAAATTAATAAATGCTTTCTACATTGAAAGTATTCACGTTTTGTATCTTCTCAGAAGAATATGGAAAAAATTAATCCACAATTACCATTAGAAAAATAAATACAAAGTATCCAAGACAGATATTAAATATACACTCCAGTTCTTTAGTTGATTCAACATTCTTTTTGTTTTCTACAACATTCAGTTCTGACATAAAAACTGGGAGTGGTAAGCAAGACTTTTCCAACTATCATTTACGGATCCCTTTCAACGTGCCTATGAACACCAAATACAAAGAAAGGCATGTTATTCATCTCAGCCACAGAAGCAAATTTTGTCTGCTGTAATGTTGAAAATATGAAATGTTACTTCCCCATGGGTTTGCATAAGTCTTTAAACTGCCAGGAAGAAATCTAGACTGGAACTGTCTCCATGGCAACAAATATTTTTAACTTTTTGAGCACAACAAGTATAATTTTAGTTTGCTTGTGGTTTTCTAATGGTCAGAGGGAATGAGACACAATAGAGCATTATTTCATAAAAGCTAGGAACAGTTTCTCCTGCTATCCTAAAACATATCTTCCTACACACTTACAGTTATGATTTCTCCCCTTCACCTATGTTGAGAACATTGAAAATAAAAGTATCTCTATTATAAATGCTTTATTATTCAGTTGTAAAGTTCTCTATGAGTTGCAATATTACTTTTTCTTTTTTTTTTTGAGTTGGAATCTCACTCCGTTGCCCAGACTGGAGTGCAGTGGCCGCTCCGGGCCACCGCAGCCTCGACCTGCTGGGCTCCGGCGATCCTTCCACCTCAGCCTTCCAAGTAGCTGGAGCTACAGGCGTGAGCTACCACGCCCGGCTAATTTTTTTTTTTATTTATTGTAGAGTTGAGGTCTTGCCAAGTTACCCAGGCGGGTCTCAAACCCCCAGGCTCAGGTAATTCACTCACCTCAGCCTCCCAAAGCAAGGGATTACAGGCTGAGCCACCGAGCCCGGCCAATATTACTTTTTCTTAATGTTCTTTCTAGAAAAATCACTGGAGTTACATTTTTCATCTCCCACATTGAGAATATGCTTTATAGTAAAGATTAAAGTGATGACAAAATTCATGTTTTCTGATTTTCCAACTTTAGCTTTTGAGCTATGAAACCTCTAAAAGGATATGTCAGTCAAAATTTTGTTTATTTTATCCACCTCAAGTTATGGGAAGTAATTTACTTACAGATTTCTTTAACATTTTCATGACTGTTTTTGACTTTCAATTTGAGGATTTATAGTGACTACAGACTAGTGCTTAGAGCCTGAATTTAACATTCTTTTCCTATCCATTTTTAACAGTTCACTGAGTCAAGTATATCACTTTCATTTCTCTACCAGTTCTAGACCACCTCAAATAATCCGAGATACTTCACTTTTAGGAGGAACATACAACTTTTTCCAAAAAATTCTGACATTATCAAAAAATTATCAAAACAATACATGCAGTTTTTTCATTAATTTGGAATATTTATTGATTCATAACAGAGAAAATTTAACTCATAAGGCAAATTTTAAAGTTTATTTTTTTCTTAAAATCACTTTAACTTGTCATTCAATCTCTAGCATTTCCATGCTCTCTCAATCTCTACTAGTCACATCCAAATTTAACATGATGATCCTGGTTTAAATCACTTTGCCTTTCACTGTTTTCTAAAAACAGAATCTTCTCATTTACCACCGTCACCAAATAATGGGAGCCTTCACACAGGTAAGTTCAGCCCTGATACAAACTGATCATTTCAGTTACTTCAGTTTTGTTTTGTTTTTTCTTTTTAAGCTTTAATAACACAATATGATAGAGAGGAAAGGTTACATGGGCTTTGGAGTCTAGCAAACTTGGCTCAAATCCTTCCTCCACCATTTACTCACTGTTTGACCCTGGCCTTCATCTCTGAACCTAAGTATTTCTCTACAGTTGAAAATAATCTCACCCACTAACTAAATGGTTTTGAAGGTTAAATGAAATAACAGATTTTAAAGAACCTGGTACAAAACTCTTTAGACTGTTAGACACATTTCGCATTAGACATGCAAGATGGAAACCATAAAATGAATTACAAACTCCCCTGCTTCATTACACAGAGAGAAGATAACAAGTAGATATTGTTTAACATTATCTTAATAAATCAATGTCATTTATGAAACACAAACAAGAATTATGTAAGGCTATGGAAATATTTTTCCCTTGAGTAAGGAATCCACAGGCCACTTCAAATTTAACTTCAAAAGCAACCCAGAAAACTAAATTTAAGTTGTTTTCATTTAATTGTTTCCTCCTTCTTCCCTTGTTCCTATTCATTTCTTCTTACTATATCTACTCATCTTCACCAAACTCTTTAACAGTACAGCAGAAATAATACATGTTTGGGGAGTCAGAACTTTTAAAAAATCCTTTATCTGCCATTTACTGGCTGAGAGATGCTAGACAAGGTACTAATCTCTCCAAGTCTCGATGATTTTCTTTTGTCTTGGCCTTAGAAAAAGGGAACAACAACATCTATGCAGAGTATGGTTCCAACTGGAGATAAATTATGCAAGGTGCCTAGTAAATTACAAAAAATAGGCAAATGATGAACCGGAGTTATTATTATTATTATTCCTCTGCTCAAATGTGCTGTAGTTGAAAGCTAAATAACCAATATTGTAATATTTTAACATAACAAAAAAGAAGCTATTCAAAATTAACCTAAGGATGATGGCAATAGCTAGGAAAAATTAAAATATAGTACCAAAAATTTTGTATAAAGTATCCATAACATGGGCAGTAATGGACCAATTTCCTTAATATACTAAGCACTATTACAATTTAACAGCCAAAAAGACAAATCCAATAAAAAATGGTCAAAGGATATGAAAATGCAGTTCATAGAAAAATAAAACAAATACTTTATAAACATGCTTAATTTCACACAAAATGAAATCAAAACAACTATAAGATACCACGCCCTCAGCCAGGCTCAGTGGCTCAGCCTGTAATCCTGCGCCTTGGGAGGCTGAGGTGAGTAGATTGCCTGAGCCCGTGGGTCGAGACCCGCCTGGACAACTTGGCGAGACCTCATCTCTACAATAAATCAAAAAATTAGCCGGGCGTGGTAGCGTGCGCCTGTAGTTCCAGCTACTTGGAAGGCTGAGGCAGAAGGATCGCTGGAGCACAGCAGGTCGAGGTTGCAGTGGCCGGGAGCAGCCACTGCACTCCAGTCTGGGCCACAGAGTGAGACTCCAACTCAAAAAAAAAAAAGATACCATGCCCTCTCAGAGGAGTGAAAGTAAAAGACTGACAAAACCTAGTATTGACAAAAGTCACAGGACACAGGTAAACTCATACATTGCTGCTGGAATAATAAATTACCTCTCTTTGGGAGAAACCACAGCAATATTAATAAATATTTATAGTATACATATACTTGACAACCCAATAATTCTCCTCCTAGGAATGCTTCCTATAAAACACCTACACAAGGTATATATTTACAAAGATATTCACTGGATTATTGTTTGTCACAGGAAAAAAACATCACTTTGGTTAAACAATATCCATCTGTAAGGTATTAGTGTTAGGTATTGTTACAATTCTTACAATAGGAATATTTATGCAACTGCTTAAAATGAGTAAACTGGGCCAGGCGCGGTGGCTCAAGTCTGTAATCCCAGCATTTTTGACAAGGCGAGAGGATTGCCTGAGCCCGGGGGTTCGAGACCAACTTGACAAGGTCTCATCTCTACGATAAAAGATTATATTTAGTACACAGTTAGTGGTTCTAAAGTATTACCAAAAATGTAAGGTATTACATTTTATTTATTTATTTTATTTTTTTGCATTGGAGTCTCACTCTGTCACCCAGGCTGAAGTGCAGTGGCACGTTCATAGTCACCGCAGCCTCGACCTGCTGGGCTCAGGCCATCCTTCCACCTCAGCCTTCCAAATAGCTAGAACTACAGCCACGTGCCACCCACACCTGGCTAAATAAGCATTTCATTTAAATTTTTTTTAGAATTTTATAAACATTATTACCACCATTAATACCTTTGGAACACCCACTTACTTTTTATTTTTTACTTTGTTTTATTTAATTAATTATGTTGATTTGGAGTTTCACTCTGTCGCTCAGGCTGGAGTACAGTGGCATGCTCAAGGACACTGCAGCCTCGACCTGCTGGGCTCAGGTGATCCTTCCACCTCAGCCTTCCAAGTAGCTGGCACTATAGGCACGCACCACCATACCCAGCTAATTTTTTTATTTATTGTAGAGATGAGGTCTCGCCAAGTCACCTTGGTTGGTCTCGAACCCATGGGCTCAGGCAATCCTCTCACCTTAGCCTCTCAAACTGCTGAGATTATAGAAGTGAGCTACCATGTCTGGTCACTTTATTTTTTTTTTTGAGTTGGAGTCTCACTCTTTGTCACCCAGGCTGGAGTACAGCGGCACGTTCACGGCCACCACAGCCTCAAACTGCTAGGTTTAGGCAATCCTTCTGCCTCAGTCTTCCAAGTAGCTGGAACTACAGGTGCACACCACCATGCCCAGTTCGTTTTTTTGTATGTGTGATTTACTGTAGAGACAAGGTCTCACCAAGTTGCCCAGGCTGGTCCCGAACCCCCATGCTCAGGCAATTCTCACTTTGATTTCCCAAAGTGCTGCGATTACAGGCTGAGCCACCACGCCCAGCCTTATTTTTTAAGTTGGAGTCTCACTCTGTTGCCCAGGCTGAAGTGCAGTGGCACGCTCATGGCCACCACAGCCTCAATCGACTGGGCTCAGGCAATCCTTCAGTCCCAGCCTTCCAAGCAGCTGGAATTACAGGTATACACCATAACACTCAGCTAGTTTTTTTTATTTATTGTATAGATGAGGTCTCACCGAGTTGCCCAGGCTGGGTTCGAACCCCTGGGATCAGGCAATCCTCTCGCCTCCACCTCCCAAAGTGCTGGGGTTACAGGCATGAGACACCACGCCCGGCTCCATTTACTTTTTAAAATACTCATCAGTATGAATTTTAGAATAGGCATTATACTATATAAGAATCATGACAGAATATATCAATTACAAATCTTTAAAATGTAATTTCCTATGATTTCAAAGAAACCTTTATTTTTCTGCTTTTTCCAAACCAAGCCCCTGACCTTCCCAACATTATTCTGTGAATAATTCAAATTACCTTTTTAATGCTGAAAAAGTTAGCAGTGTCTCTACATGTGTCGAGGCTTGTAGATCTCTTTTTCTTACCGAGTGCTGCTGGATATTGGATAAGGAGAGGATATCGTAGTCTGAGAGCAAAGAATCAAGCTTCTCTGAAATAAAGGTAAAACAGGCATCAGCATCTAAACCTACTAACCAACTGCAATATTACTAAAACGAGAATGCCAGGCAATAAATCCTTCCTGAAGCGATGCATTAAGAAGTGCCCAATACAAACTATATATCACTTTTCATCAACAGAAGCTCTGCTGCTTCCTCTAAAATCAGGAGAAATTTAGAAGACAATTTGGGTGACTTGAGTTCTTTAAAAACTGTCTAACACCAGGCATGGTGGTTTACGCCTATAAACCCAGCACTTTGGGAGGTCAAAGAGGGAGGACTACTGCTTGAACCCAGAAGTTCGAGATTAGTCTAGGTAACATAGTGAGACCTTGTCTCTACAAAAATAAAAAAATTAGCCAGGCTATGTTGGAATATACCTGGAGTCCCAGCTACTCGGGAGGCTGAGGTGGAAGGATTGCCTAAGCCAATGAGGTTGAGGCTGTGATGGAGCCACTGCACTCTAACAGAAACCCCAATACCCAACACACACACACACACACACACACACACACACACACACACACACACACACACACACACTCTCTCTCTCTCTCTCTCTCTCTCTCTCTCTCTCTCTCTCTAAAAATATCTGAGCTGATGCTTTCCTTCTCTTTCAACAAATATCACTGCTATGGTATTCAAAGTCATTGCAATGAACTTGGAATGTTCTCAAAATACAGCAGCAGAAGCTTAAAACACAAATTTATTGCTACACAAAGAAAGTTTTATTAGTAGCAGGAGTATTATTTTTTGAGTCTGAGCCTCACTCTGTCACCCATCCTGGAGTGCAGTGGCATGCTCACAGCTACCGCAGCCTCCACCTGATGAGCTCAGGCAATCCTTCTGCCACAGCCTTCCAAGTAGCTGGAACCACAGGCACACGTCACCACTCATGGCTAAATTTTTACTTATCGTAGATACGAGGTCTTATCACGCTGCTCAGGCTGGTCTCGAACCCCTGAGCTCAGGCAATCCTCTCATCTCCACCTCCCAAAGTGCTGGGATTACAGGTGTGAGCCACCATGTCCAGCCACAAAGACAGTTTTAAAAGAAAGATTCTCACTCATATGTGGGAGCTAAAAATGGATCACGTGGAAGTAGAGAGTAGAATGGTGTTTACCAGGGGCTGAGAAGGAAAGGGGAGAAGGGGAGAGGAAGAGAAAATGGTTACAGAGTACAAAAATACAGTCAAACAGAAGGAGTAAGTTCTAGTATTTGATAGTAAGTAAGGAAGTTATGGTTAACAATAATTTATTGTATATTTCAAAATAGCTAGAAAAGATTTGTTATGTTCACAACACAGAGAAAAGATAAATGTTTGAGATGATGGCTATCCCAATTACCTTGATTTAATCATTACACATGGTATACAGGTATCAAAATATCACATTTACCCCCAAAATATGTGCAATACATCAATAAATAATTTAAAATAAAACAAAAAGAGAAATTAAGTGAATTTAAACATGCCACTACCAAGACACACTGGTCTTTCCCAAGCCCTTTCCACGCTCTAGCCCTCTCATCCTAACTGGCTCCCAAAATGCTGGCAATCAGACCTTTACCTGCCACAGTAATGTGGAAATTTGACAATCTCTAATGAAAGATCTAAGATTCTGAAATCGAAAGTTTGCCAAAAGAAAGCTCCCACATAAAAAACTAAAAGGAAACCCAATACTTTTCTCCTTCACCTTCTCTTAAATACCCTCCATTCGTCACTCAGGCACTGCTCTAAGTGTTAAAAAACAGCATGAACAGAACGAAGGCCTTTTCTAACACAGCACTCACTTTAGCGCAGGAGAAAGACAATAGGAAAGAAAATATGTCAATGTTGTGGACATTAAAGATAAAAGAGAGAATGGGAAAGACTAGTTTATGAGAGAGGTCAAAAAAGGAAGTGTCTCACTGTTATGTAATATTTAAGCAAACCTGAAGAAAGCAAGGGGTAGGCATGCTCTTATCTGATAAAAGTAAATTTAATCAAAATTCATTCAAGGTTCTAACTCAAAATCAAATAAAGTGGCAGCAAATTTCACATTTGCCAGATATCACTCATTTTCTCTTACTGAAATTTCCTTTTAAAACTTAATACAGGCTGGGCGCAGTGGCTCATGCCTGTAATCCATTACTTTGGGAAGGCCAAGGCAAGAAGATTGCTTAAACCCAGAAGTTCTAGACCAGTCTAGGCAACAAAGCAAGACCTTGTCTCTACAAAAATTAATTAATTAATTAACTAAATCCAGAGGGGGCTGGACACAGAGGATCATGCCTGGAATCCCAGTGCTTTGGGAGGCCAGCGCAGAAGGACCCCTTGAGGCCAGGAGTTCAAGACCAAACATGACCTCTCCTCCCTCTGAATTTTAAAGCCCTTTGTTTGCAACTTTCTTATGGACCTTTCTCATTATGATATACTTGTCTTATCTCATAAACAGATTATGAAAGGGCCAAAAGAAAGCTATGGTTTATTCATCACAGTATCCTTACATCTCACAACACTCAGTAAAGAACCTTGCACACAGCACTCATATGTTCACAAACTGCATGAATTCTCAATGCTGAGACGCCAATACAATCCTTCAGCTTCCCTGATACAAGTTGGTACATGAACTCAGTTTCATTCAAGATCATAATCACTGCTACTGACTTAGAAACTTAACCTCAATACTGCAGTCTCATTGTCAATAACACAGGCCAGAAGTTCTCAAGTGTAGAACTTTGATGCCCACACCAGTACCATCACCATCACCTGGGACTTTTTAGAAATGCACGTATTCAGGTCTCCCTTCTGACCCAGTCAATCAGAAATCCTCCCAATGGGGTTCAGTAATCTGTGTTTAACAAGTCTTCCAGGTGATTCTGATGCATACTCAAGTTTGAAAACCACTGAACTAAGCTAAAGTAAGGAAACAGCTGAAAGGAAAGAAAAAGCCTTTCAGCACAAAGATGTTCATTATTCAGCCTTGCATTATTTTTAAGAACAAAAACCAGAAACAAGATAAATAACCAAAAAACAGTTGGATAAGTTATAGCACTTCTAATACAGGGAAGAAGTTTCTCTATATTTCCCTATGCTGTTTATGTCAGATTTTTAAGAACATGGGAAAATAATCTGCTATGATGTTAAATAAGCAAAGACAGACTTAAAAACTAGTCCTACTGTATAATTTTAATTATATATAAAAATAGGCCTAGAAAAAATAAGCACAAATAGTAACATCTGGTTATTTGGGGTGTATTTTTTATAATAAGCACATTTTTCATGGAGTTTTCTAAAGAACTTAAAAATATTTAACTATTTGTTTCCATTGCTATTTATTCTCTTTAATTACTGGAGAACTCAGGCACGGTACAGTGGTTCATGCCTGTAATCCCAGCGCTTTGAGAGACCAAGGCAGGAGAATTGTCTGAGCCTAGGAGTTTGAGACCAGCTTGGGCAACACAATGGGACCCCCGCCATACAAAAATAAAAATAAGGTCAGGCGTGGTGGCTCAATCCTGTAATCCCAGCACTTTGGGAGGCCAAGGTGAGAGGAGTGCCTGAACCCACAGGCTCAAGAACAGCCTGGGCAACTTGGCAAGACCTCATCTGTTCAATAAATCAAAAAAATTAGCCGGGTGTAGTAGTGTGAGCCTGTAGTTCCAGCTACTTGGAAGGCTGAGGTAGAAGGATCGTCTGAGTCCAGGCAGGTAGACGCTGGGGTGACCGTGAGCATGCCACAGCACTGCAGTATGGGCAACAGAGTGATACTCTGACTCAAAATAAATACATAAATAAATATTTAGAAAATTAGATGGCATGGTGACACACACCTGTAGTCCTAGCTACTCAGGAGGCTAAGACAGGAGGATCACTTGAGCCCAGGAAGTAGAGGCTGCCAGCATGGGCAATAATGAGACCCTGTCTCTTAAAAACAAAATAAAAATAACTGGATATCTCATAATGGAGATTCTGGAGCCATCACAAACAATACAGTAAAAACAGCTCTCCCTTCAGAGCCAAACTGGAGCTTCTTACTGCTCTTGCTACTGTCTCTTCACTAGCAAGTGAAACCTCCCAGATACTTTATATTTCATTGCACTTTACTTCCAAATTTCTAACCTACCTTGCAGGCACTAAAGATACAACATAGAAAAAGAAACACATTTTTGTAGAGAGGAGGGGTCCCACTATGTTGCCCAAGCTAGTCTCAAACTCCTAGGCTCAGACAATCCTCCTGCCTTGGTCTTTCAAAGCGCTAGGATTACAGACATGAGCCACTGTACCATGCCTGAGTTCTCCAGTTATTAAAAGAGAATAAATCACAATGGAAACAAATTAAACATTTTAAAATTCATTAGAAAACTACATGAAAAATGTGATTATAAAAAAATACACCCAAAATAACCAGCTATCTCAATTTACTATAGCCTTTTCAACAGAATTTATATTTCCCCCAGTTTCCCAAGAGTTTATCCAAGTCTCTCTATAAATTTAAGTGTAAACTACCTAGCTTCTTACAGTAGAGTTTATTATTAACCCTAGACAATGCTACAAAGACAATCTTCGCTCAGTGTCTGGTCATATTGTCTCTCTTAAAAACTCCACAATGGCTGCCCATCACCCTCTAGAATGAAAGCACCTTGACTTTCTACAAGTTACTCCAGCAATCACCTTAAACAACTGAGCTTTTCTCATCTACGCTATTTACAAACACAAACTAGAAAATGACAGATACAACTTACTTGTTAGACTAGAGTACTGTATTATTTAGGTGTCCCCTATGCATCCCTCCCTGCTCTTCTCTGCCAAGTGCTAGTTTACTTTCGCCTCACTTGGCTCCTGTCGAGTGGTCCTTGATGGCCTTGCCCTTCCTCACTGCTTTTGTATCTTTTCCATCCTCCCCATCACCCCTCCTTTCTCACATACACATTCTACATTTATTTTTTTCCACCACACCTCATTTATTCGTTTATTTAGAATCACCTGCCTTGCAGGCACTAAAGACACAAT